TAAGTCCAAGTAAGAGCATACACCATCCGCATAACGAGAGTAAGTGCAGCCGTGTGTGCCAAGTTCACGACGAGAGCTGAGAACAAATGTGGCATGTGCGTGCCCAAGGACACGGCGGGCGCTGAGAGCTGGACGCAGACGCGACCACAGATACCAGGAGTGTTGGTAGCACCGAGGGCAGCGCGTGTGCGATCAGAGACTTCGAAAGCTACTGCAGCGGGTGCGTGGCTAAGGACACGGATGTCGCTGCGGACGAGTGAGACGTGTGTGCCAAGTATACAACGAGCGTCGGCAGCCAGGGCAGTGTGTGCGTGACCTAGTACACGAGGAGCGTAGAGAACAAGTTCATCGCGTGTGTGACCAGAGAGGCCGCGAGTCTCAACACTAAGTGCAGCCTGTTTGTGGTCAAGTACACGGCGAGACTCGAGAAGAAGTTGAACCCAGGCGTGGCCCCGGACGTAACAATCTGCGGCAGCAAGTGCTTCGTGTCCTTGGAACAACAGGCTGCACTTAGTGTTGAGACTCGCGGCCTCTCTGGTCACACACGCGATGAACTTGTTCTCAACGCTCCTCGTGTACTAGGTCACGCACACACTGCCCTGGCTGCCGACGCTCGTTGTATACTTGGCACACACGTCTCTCTTGTCCGCAGCGACAACCGTGTCCTTAGCCACGCACCCGCTGCAGTAGTTTTCGAAGTCTCTGATCGCACACGCGCTGCCCTCGGTGCTACCAACACTCCTGGTATCTGTGGTCGCGTCTGCGTCCAGCTCTCAGCGCCCGCCGTGTCCTTGGGCACACACATGCCACACTTGTTCTCAGCTCTCGTCGTGGGCTTGGCCACCTCTGAGTTGCGCTCGGTTTTGAAGCCTGCGGTGTCCGTGACCACGCACCTGCCGCCACTTGCCGCCGCCGCTTCTGGTGTCTGTGGTCGCGTCTGCGTCCAACTTATTCTTAGCGCTCGCTTTGTTGCTTACCTCCCTTCGTTGCACTTGGGGCCGATTCTCACTCTGTATCTGGTGGAGCTCACGCTGTTGAAGATCTTCGTGTCCAGAATCACGCTCGTACTGCACATGAGTCAACGCACGCGATGGCCTTGACAACGTTATGCTTCCCCGAGTATCTGTGTCGCTGGTCACCCCTCCCTTTACATGTTTACAATGTCTGCCATGTCCACCGTCTAGACCCGAGATGCTTTGCTTCTGAACGTCAATCCTAGAAGCAGCTTATTAATTTTTTGTCCAATTAAATCATCTGAAAACAAGCTCAAGCGACCAAAGGACTCGGACTCCCCTCGCAAAGATGATAAGTCCACGAGCAATAAAACCCACGAGCTGCGATCCAAAGGTTTTACGGCTTGCCTGTTTCTGTGGGAACCGGGCTCCCGCCGAGCTCGTCGAATGCGTGATTCTATTGGTGCATTGAGATTTCTCGCTTCGTCGACGAAGCGAGAAAAATTTGGAGTTGCCTACATTTACCTCACCAATAGTTTCCGTCTCGACATGCATAGAACTTGTAGATTTGGCACTGTAAGGAGCCGCTGAATCGGGACGTGGACCGTGGTCGGATCACGCGCTCTACTTTAGATTGAGAAACAAGCTGATGAAAAACGCGGCACGTTGGTGGGTTAACCTCAAGCAAAGACTACCACTGAAAAAAAAACACGTGAACGAGCCCGAAGAAGGCGCTTTTTTGACGCTACGGCGATAAGTTGGATAAATCTATAGTTGAATGGAGAGTGAACATGAGAAGAATGATGCCGGGAGAAGCATACGCAGATTTTGTAGCAGCATTACGGATGTGATTGGACGAAATAAAGTAAGTGAAAGAGTTTTATTGGCACAGTTCTGTTGGAATCTCGACAAGATACCAAGAAACTCGTCAGACAGCGACCTAAACCACGAACATTGGAGTTGGCCGTGGATAAGGCCAACGGCATTGATGATCCTATGGATAACATTGCGCAAGGGATGTTTAATATCAGCCAGCTGTGGGCGACAGTTTCGAGCTCATATTTTGTCCCAGTTGACGGAACAACCGGTCAGACGTTAGTTGCAGCGGGGCTGCCGTAGCTTAGC